AGAACCGGCAACCTTCTTGCTGCGAGGCAACAGTGCTACCAACTGCGCCACCCTGCAGCCCCACGTGAACTCTACTATTTGAATTCTCAAGATTTATTCAGATTTCACTCACAGCCTGCTTTAATCAACATTTTATTCCTAAAAACATGAAGAACAAGTGTCCTCAAGCACACAACAAATGACCACAAAAAGAAAAAGAAAAGCCCATAAAGACACACAAAACAACCAAAGAAGACAGAACGCAGCACAAGTTTGTACGGAACAGTTCAGATTTCCTGTGGTCACAGCTCATTTACATATTTAAATACGACATAAGGTGACGTCAGATGGCTTCAGTCCTGCATCCTCATCTTCTGTTTTACCTTAAAAGGCGACATTTTAATTCGCTGCAGCTCTTTCTGGTCAAACTGCAGCAGCTGTTGAGGAGGCGTGGCCAAAGAAGTTCATAAACTCCACCGAGCGCAGAGATCTGAGCTTCTTCTGCTCAACCTGCAGACGACATATCCAGCAACAAACCAACCAGCCGACCAGCCGACCAACCGGCAGAGCTCCTTGTTTCTCCATCTTCAGGTCTGTCGTTCAAACTCTCTTAGTTTTTACATTTTTCATGGCATTAATTCATTCTGGGGACACTTTGGCCCAACATAAGTTAAAATGCTGCTACAGCAGAACAAGCCACAGCGACTCACCCACCTGCTGCATCATGTCATTCACTGGAAGAAAAAAAAGAACTGGATTTTTATGTCAGGTTTCATATTTATTTTACTTTTTTCTGTATTAAAAAAAAAACAAAAAAACTCAAATTAAAGTGAAAGCTGAATCAAATGTAAATAAATAAATGACATAAAATAAAATCCTTTTCAAGTAAACAATCCCTCCATTTCCCTTTTCCTTTAGAAAGAATAAAAGCATGTTTTTTTCACATCAAAATCCATTGTTATTCATCCATCCATTATCATCCATCACCTACAGACAATTTAGAATCACCAGTTAACCTCAGCAACTACTGTTGGAGAAGTTCTACTTTAATGTTTATTCATTTTATTTTTCATTAAGCTGCAGTAAGTGAATGAGTAAGTCAATAATAGTAACTATATATTGTCTTTGAGGGACGTACAGTAACTGTCCTTTAACAGTCTTTTCAATGAACAATTTTTCATGTATTTTTTCTGGCAGATTTACAGTTCACAGTGTGCAATGTTAAAAACGCTTTAACTTTAACTTTTTTGCGTTTTTTCTAGCAGGTTAAAACAGTCTAACAAGTTAAATGACTGAAAAGCTAACAGGTTAATAAACTATCAGACGAATATGGTAATGGTCTAAAAAGCTAACAGGTTACGATCTAACAGCGCAACAAGCTGACGGGCAACAAGCTGAGTAACGATCTAACATGCCCATATTATTTAATGATGTTTGAGCCTTTCCCTGATACAAATGGATGAAATGTAGTTGTCATGAATGGAGAAATCCACTATAGAGACCAAAACCATGTTTGCAGCAGGCTGAAAATATGTCTATTTCTGCCGTACTTCATTATTGGCTTTACGTTTTTAGCTCTGCAGGTTGCTGCTTGTTCGTAAGGAAAAAATAATTAACATGCCAGAGTTTGTGCCGTTGTGTGTTGCAGGTCATGGCGTCCGCCGGTTCGCTGTTCCTGCTCTTGATGTCATCCTCCCTCCTCATCTCTACCGTCTCCCGGCCGCCAGCCCGGAACCAGCTGTCCAGAGATTCTTCACAGAAAATCAACAAACCCAAAGAAGGTGTTAAAGCAGTGGGCAAGTTCATCCTTAACAGCATTAATGAGCTCAGGTTCACACTGGTCCCCTTTCTGGGGTTGATTCCAGGTTGGGGCCCACTGATCAGTGCCGTGACCACCGCGACACTGGTGGGAGTGTCGGTAGTAAACAACAACGTCAATAACAAGCCAATACTTAGTGCCATCATATCTGAATTAGACATCCTCAAATCCAAGATGGAAGAGTATCACGTAGAGACTAAATGGGACAACTGGGCGGCCGGAGCTTACCACAAACCTGAGTTGAAAATAACCCAGGCCTGGGACAATTTCTTAACGCTGGCACGTGCTCTGCTGCTGGCAAGAGATGGCAGTGAAAGGAAGAGACAAGTCGATGAGTTTATCAACAACTACTCAAAGACCCTGGACGCCACTGGCAAATTACGCACACTGCTGACAGCTAAAGGGACGACCTTCATTTATAACCTGGGAGACATGCTGGCTGAACATGTTAAATGTCATGACAGGGAGATCCGAGAATACACTGTGTTCATTAATCAACTTATCTGCAAGGGCAACACCATGAATCAGTTCTACTACAAACAAAAGCGATTAGACAATCCTGCTTTGATTGAAAAAGCAGCTGAGACCGCATACGACGCAGCTAATGTCATGTTCAAGGTCCAGAGGGCCTGCATGGAAAACAGTGAGGGGTATGTTAGAAAGGACATCGAAGCACTCATTGACAACACCACAACCAAAAACCGTCAAGACCTGGCAAACGAAGTGCTAGCTTTTCTGGAGAAAACCTACGACAGGTTCGACTGGATGGTTGTCGCATACATCACCAAAAATTCAGGGCATAAAATACTTGAAACCCGGAACAAACACACCTTGACCGATTTCTATATTTATGTTGACAGAAAAGGCGTTAGCGTAGCTGTAGCCAGACAGGTGAAGGGCAAACATACCATGTTTAACCAAGTCTCAGATGCCATTAGGAGGTGCTTTCCAAAGCCACCTGTCTGCTATCAAGTGGCAGACAAACTCAGTAAGTGTAGACAATATGTGGAGTCAAATATTCCAGTGTCTGAGACTTACACAGTAGTTCACGCCTACAAAGGAGAACCTCACGACAGCTTTAACGGCAAAATAGAATCTGACTTCGTCTACATCAATACCAGATACCCAGCCAAGACTCCATACATTTATGAAGGGAACTGCAAGAAATCTATAGGTGTGCGAGGTGGCAAGTTCACTGTTCTGGTTAAAAGTGACGAAGAAATACGCAACAAAAATCCTTGTGCCAAGCTCTACTGTGGAGGCAACCAAAGAGGCCGCTGTGAGCTGGTGAAGGGCACTAAAATGGGAATCTGTCACTGTAACATGCCATACTACGGCCAACACTGTGAGAGCAGCTTAGAAGATTACAAGAGATACTTACAAGAGACATGGCTACAAGTGGTGGATAACAGGAGACGGCATATGCCTCGAGTCTGATGCAGTCAGGTGTCTTAAGGCCCTTTTCCACTGCAGAAACCTCTTTTAGAGTGCCAAAACCCTTTGTCACTGCAGGAATTTTCTCTTTTAAACCTGTTTCAGGGCCTTATATGAACCTTTATGAATTGCCCTTTTAGAGCCTCTGTCAGGCTCGTTTTAGGTTGGACGGAACATTTGTTCTGACTGCCCGATCCCTATATCCCTGCATGTATCCCTATAGAGTCTGATCACAAGATCCACCCTTTTACATTCTTATTTAGGCTTGTTTTAGGGTGGCTCCTAAAATGAGCCATTCAGAACCTTTCTGAACCTTTCAACCACCCATGTAGAACCTTTTTCAGGACTGTTTTCGGGGAGGGAAAGTACCTCTTGCAGGGTACCCAACAAACCTCCATTGTTTTGTTTCCTTCATAGAACTGGAGTTCTGTCCAGCAGCTATTGATTGTTCTGGTCAGTAACATGAAGCATTGATCCGACAGAGGAAACAGAGACAAGAACAATTCCTCACAACTAAAACAAGTTCCTGCAGTGGAAAATTCGGAGGTCTCCGGGCACCTTTTTTTGTTTTAGCTTAACATTAATATTTCTGCAACTGATGATGTATAAACTTAAGAACAACAGCAGTAGAATACAGTTTGTAATGTCCAGGTCCATGTAAGGACGACGTAGAGATGACCTGAGTCCATCAGAAATAAACACACCTACACCATGTGCACACCAGTAGTAGATCAAAAGAAAATTAATCAGCAATTATTTTAGCAATCGTTAATCATTTGAGCCTGATATTAGGTTTTGGGACTGTTGCTTGACAACATAAGACATGATGAGGCCACTTTGGACTCCAGCAAACCAACATCTTTTTCCGTTTTTTGATGTTTTACATATCAAACAAATAATCACTTAACTGAAAACTATTAATCATGATTACATATTAAAGACTATATTTAGCTGAAAATATTACTTGTTCAAAGCTGAAACAAAACTGATGAATTAATTTGGGTAAAACAGAGTGAAACTGCTACAACTAGTCATTTCACTGATTAGTGGACAAACAGAAAATCATTCAGTAACTATTTTATTCATCTTTAATCACTTGTGCCAAAACCTGACAGTTTTCAAATCTGTGGATTTGCTGATCATGCCTGTCAAATATTATAGTCGATATAGATTTACTTCACCTCAGACTCCAGCAAACTCACATCTGTCACAGTTTTTGGATATTTCACAGACCAAACAAATAATCAGTTAATCAGAAAAGATTAATCAATCCTGTTTAGGTATTTGTGGGCCCATATTCTGCACATTTACAGCTTTATAACTGTATTTTGGGGTTTTAGACTAGAATATGTTTACCCCCTGTAATGGTCAAAAACACATGCTTGTTCTCAAGATCTCTGCAGCAGAATGTGGGCTCTTAAAATCACGTGTTCAATTTGTATCACAGAAAATTTGGACATATAAGCAGCAGCATCGTCTGCATACAGACGAATGAAGTTAATGCATCATCAGTTATAAGGTGGAGCTGAGCTGTAACGCAAACTGCAAAGCAACAGAGCCTTTGTCCTGAGACAGGAGGGATTATTTTCTTTGCATTTAAAAACTTAATGCACTTGTGTGGGAAATTTCTCCTGAGAAAGAAACTCAGAGTTAATTCAAGGACATGACGTGGACCCATCTGTTTCTAAAATCTGTGGATGTAAAATCAGAATGATGTGATTTCTGTAAATGTTGACATGCTGATCTCCTCCTGCCTCACCGTGATCCAATTGGACAGAGTTTAAACCAGCAACGAGCTTTTCCTGCTTCCAGCTTCTGTCCTGTAGTAATAAGAAGTAATAAAACTTCACTTTCACTGCCACTGCTGTGTCTGACTGACTTCTTTATGGGGTGAGAATAAAACCAACACCAAGATCTCAGAAACCTTCTTGATTGTGTCAAAGAAAACTCATCAAGGCACACAGATTGCACTGTTAAAAAACTAAAAAAAATCGTTAAAAAAAAAAAAAAAATTTTAAATTGTGCACTGTAAAAACATTTACAGAAAATTTCTAGGAATAGATTTTTTTTTCTGTTTCCATGACAAGAGATAACCTCTTTATAACAGGATTATACCACTTCTAAACAGTACAGTGTTTAAAAATGTTAAAGACAAAAGGAAAAGTGAAAATCTGTACTTTAAGAGAATTTCTTGCAGACATTTACAAAGAAAATACAGATTATTCTGTCTTTTCACATTAAAAGAATGTATCTGTAAATTACAATAAAATGATCTTTTTTCCCTCCAAACAAATCTGGTGTAACAAAGTATTATAGCTTTACAAGAATTGATTGATTAGACAGTGTTGTTAAAGTACTAGTTATGAATGTAAAAATACAGAGTTTTCTGTTTGTAAAATCAATAAATACAGATTTTCTCTGTGCATTTTACAGTTCAATTTAATAGATAATTACAAGACAAAAATAAGGAAAACACCCCATTTTAAGCATTTTAGCTTTGTAGGAATTCCTATTTTAAGAACAAGATTATTTGAATTTTCACTTGATAGAAAGAGGTTTTAAAAAGGGAAACGCTCAAAATCTCATGAGGCAACTGAAAGTAATTTAATAAAACACAAAGCACAAAAAATAGATCACCTCAAGAAAGACAGAACACTGTAAAAACAGCATAACTTGTATTAAAAGCAATGAAAACACAAATCAATCCATTTCTATTTTACAGATGACTTTTCATTTTGGCTTTTAACTCACATGTTTGGCATTTTTTTAAGAGCATAGAAATATCAAATACTAGAGCTGGTATTACTTCAGCTAACACAGGAATAAATCCTACAGGAAACCACAGCGGAGGTGACAAATAGGTGAATGTTGGTGACTGTCAGCTCCAGCGCTTCTGTTTCTATGCTGGTCCTTTTGTAATGTAGCACCAGCACATAGAAAGACAGATTATAAGGAGACAGAAAGAGAGAGAGAAAGAAGAGAGAGAGCACCCTGGCAACCTGTACACAGCCAACAGAAAAGGTTGCATCATGGGTAACAGATTATCTAAGTTTACATTGAAGATTGTTGTTCATTCAGTAGGAGGCAGCAGACAACTTCTGGGAGTGAAATCTCAGAGATCCGCCTCCCATCATAATAATAATAAATTTATTTATTTATTTATATATTTACTTCAGACACACCTTTGAGACCGCCAGTGTCGGCTGGTAGGTGTCAGTCATGGTGGCTGAGATGTTGACATCGTCGTCACTGTGGGTCAGACGTTCACCGTTGGCGCTGCCTCTGACGAAGCGGCTCTGAGTGTAGTAATACATCTCTTCATACAGATGGTGGTCACAGTTTCTTAATTTGTCAAAGACTCCCACTGCAAACCAGTTTTCGTAAAAGTTGAAGTCGAAGGGAACAGAGAACATGACAGCTACCTTCCTCACATCTTTGTCTGCACAGTCAGCGTCGAGTTCGTAGGTGAAGACTCCGACAGCTCCGGTGGCTCGGTGAGCCGTCTTTTTGAACAAAGCTTGGCCGGAGTCACCGCGGCTGAGCGTTGGAGGCAGCGCAGCGTCGTAGTATCCGTGGTAGACGTACACACTGGACAGCAGAAAGAGGAACAGTGAATAAAAGCACCAACACCATGAATGCAAATGTTTCTGATGATGGATGTGAAAGCTGGCAGTACAGTACCAGGGCCGGCTCAGGGTGTACTTGGACTTATTCGTTATTTTAACGACGCACTCGCGAGACTCAGCAGAACCCATGATGTCTGGAAACAACAGAACAGAGACTGATCACAGAACGTGATGTGTCTGTGGAAGTGTCCTCTCTGAGCTGTTACAGAGTACAGAGGAAAAGTCTTCTAGAAGATGGGAAGCAGCTCTATTACTATCCTAACCCTGACCATTACAGTGTTTCCTCCAGGATGTATTCCAGCGGGCGCAGCAGGCTCTCCAGGAGCCGTGGCGACGGAAACAAATGACATTTGACTGCAGATTTCACTTTTACAACCTATTAATTGAATGGCCAGTTAAAAATGTCTTTTTAAAGGCTGAATGTAAATTTAAAAATAAAATAAAATCTAATTAAATCAATGAAAACAATAAATAATAGTTTCTTGATGGGGCTGTAGAATCAGTGGCAAAGTTTGCACCCAGGCTCAGAACAATGAATTTTTCTGGGTTTTTCATGGAAGCGCTCTGAGGTTCTGTTGCAGGGAAATTCTCAGAGAGGCTCAGCAGCATCCAGGCTGCAGCTGATCCCCTGCAGCCTGATTCAGAACATTCCTACCAGGACAGAGTACAGTGACATTATTGATCACTGCTCTAACAATGGAAATACACTGAATTTATTTAGTTTTTTACTTATTTAACAGAAATATTTGCATGTATATTATGCAAAAAAATAAGAACGGAAAAAAGGTTCATGGACACTCCCCATTATCAGTGTGGTCGAGCCTTGAGTGGAACCGACTGTTTCTTTCAACCCATGTAGGGTCTCATCCTGAAGCCTGAGCTCCCCTTTAGGTTCTCCTCCTCTACTCTCATCTCTCTCCTGCTCCTCCACTCTGCTCTCCTCCACTTTGTTCCACTGCTCCTCCCTGTCTAATGTTACTGGTCTTGTACATTAAACATTAACATTAGATCATTTACACTCACATCACATCTGATTACGGTGTGATCACTATTTTTTACCTGACCATCATCATTTATGAGTCAGTAAAAGGCTAATGCTACCTGGCTAGCGTCATCTCCATCAGGTGTCTTTCTCTTCTTAGAGAAATGTTTGAACAGGTTCATCTGAAGATGCAGTCAGCAGTTCCATCATGGGTGTAGATGTTAGCTTAATGCTATCTGTTAGTTTACTCACGTAGAGACACTGAGTTGGCCGCGGGCCCAATTAACTTAAGCTACCGATATCTTACCTTAACGTTAGCTGGACATCAATGTTTTGCGAATGCCTATTTATTTTGTAAAATCTATTCTGAGTTATCTTAAGTTAATAAGTTTACTTTTCCTCTGGTAAGTCGCTGCCCTACTCTCCAAGACGACCTGGAGCCTGGTGCTGGACGGGATGTCACTTTCAAGGCCGCGCTCTCGCGAGTAATTAACGTCGCATTAACCTCCCAAAGATTAGAGAATCAACAAGATAGTTATTGTATTTTACCTTAGTAGTCGCGAGTAATTGACGCCATATTAATCCCAAAGAGTAGATACTGAGCAAGATAGTTATCTGTAGTTAACGTTAGTTGTCGCGAGTAATTGACGTCACATTAACCTCCAAAGAGTAGATACTGAGCAAGATAATTATCTGTCGTTTACCGTAGTAGTCGCGAGTAATTGACGTCATATTAACCCCAAAGAGTAGATATTGAGCAAGATAGTTATCTGTCGTTTACCGTAGTTGTCGCGAGTAATTGACGTCACATTAACCCCCAAAGAGTAGATACTGAGCAAGATAGTTATCTGTAGTTTACCTTAGTACTCGCCAGTAATATTATTATTATTATTATTGCTATGTTTTTCATTTGATTTTTCTTCTATATTTTTAATATTTTAATTTCACACAGCTCTACCACATCTGTGCGGGAACAGTGGAGATGCAGATGGCGTTTTTGTTCGTCTGTTCTTGGAGTTTTTGGAGTTCACGTCTGGCGAGCCGTTGAGCCTTTGAGCCATGGCTTTATTGTTTGACACTGGGGAATAGCTGTTGGCTCTGAGCCAGGCCAAGCCACCGTCTTGGGAGAAACCGGACATCCCCAGTGAGCTGGAGGAAGAGGGGATACAGGGCAGGAGTGAAGCGTCGGGAGGAGAGGAGACGCTACAAGCAGGCCGTCCGTCCATCATGGAAACGTGAAGTCTCTATCTAACGGCATGGAAGAGCTAACGGCTAACAGCTAACAGCACTGACGCGGCTGCAGCGGGAGTATCGGGAGTGCAGCCTCATGTTGTTCATGGAGTCATGGCTCAACGAACTCACTCCAGACTTGCTCGTAACTTTGGACGGATTTCACCTGGTCAGAGCGGACCGGAGCTGGAGGGAGAGCGGTGAGAAGAAAGGCGGGGTACTCGCCATGCATGTGAATGAGAGATGGTGTAATGCTGGGCACGTTAGCGTTAAAGAGCGGCGCTGCGCGAAGGATGTTGACCTGCTGGTGGTTGGTTTGCGGCCGTTTCACCTGCCGAGGGAGTTTTTCGCACATCCTGGAGATTGCAATTTGCATCTCTCCCCCTCGGCTGATGCTGCTGCAGCCTGTGAACTCGTCCATAGCTCAGTGTCCCAGCTGCAAACATCACAGCCTCAGTCTCTGATCGTCATCTCAGGAGACTTTAATCATACATCGCTCTCTACCACTCTCCCCACATTTCGCCAGTGTGCGGACACTGAATGCATATTACTTCATTATTGTTATTTTTTTGTACTTCTGTGTTTTTGGATGCTGCTGTTTATAATAATTTCCCAGGTCTGGCATAAATAAAGTATATTCTATTCTATGCTATTCTATTCTAATTAACGTGGTATTAACTTCCCAAAGAGTAGATACTGAGCAAGATGTTTTTCTGTACTTTACCTTCGTACTCGAGCACCGACCCAGTGCAGGACTCTGCTGTGAAGGTGGAGACATGCTGCAGTGGTGTATTTGCAACAATAAATGAATGAATGAATATTTGAAGGAGCGGCGGCAAGGATTTAGGAATAGCGACCCGCCGCCCCTAAATGAATGAAGAGGAAACACTGCGTTACTGAGAACAGGCTGATACACGGAACAGGAGCTGTTTTCTTCTAATCTTACTATTTTTGTTGTAGTTTGTTTGGTCACCACTGGATGGCACTCAAGTCACATCAAATACTTGAAGCTGTATTATTCCTTTTTTCATCAACGATGTATCTTGCAAATATCAGAACACAATCATATTTATAGAAATAGAACTGTGATCTATCTAAATATATATGTATATTTTATGTCAGTTAGAATATATTCTATATAGGTTTATTTTATGTACAAAATATAAAAAAATACAATTAAACAATTATGAAACATGAATGACATGAAACAGGAAACGTTTAGTCTGATTTAATGTCAGACAGTGAGGGAAAAAAAGTTGAGATGTCTTTTTGTACGTTGTTTGTAAACTTAAAGTGTCCACAAGGTGATGTCTGTTCCAATTGTTTTTGGGATCAGTTCCTACATTAGCTGAGATTAGATGGATTAGATAGAACTTTATTGATCCCATTGGTAGGGTACCTCAGGGAAATTGTTACATGTGGCCTTCTATGTTAAAAAGCATGTTAAAAATTGTAATAGACACTTAAAAATACCAATAAAAATGGACTTGGCAAAAATGTATTTTTCCCCCTGAATTTTTATATTGAAGAAGAGTAAAGGTCAACTTAATAGAAAACATTTTTTGCTCAGAGGAAAACAAATCAGGTCTGAAGGGGTTAAACCAAGGAGCCACGTCCTTCTTCCCTTCTCCTCCAGCCTTGCCACGTTCTAGGGACAAGCCAACATGTTCTGAGCTTTCGTATGATTAGGTGAGTGCTCGTGTTTCTGTGAGAGAGAGCTTGTTTTTTTGTTTTGGATTATTAAACCAGTGTATTCTGAAAAACCAGCTGTACAACTAGCACTGGTTTAGAGAGAGCATCCCTTTTGTTTCACAATGTTTTCACCCGTTTCTTGTTTAGGAGTTTGATTTTGGTTTGATTTCACTGGAGTTTCCAATTCAGGATAAAGACATTTTTTCCATGTTTAGGAGGCAGCCAACTTGATGAATCTGGTTACTTTGGATCTGGACCGGGACTTTGTCCTTGGCTCCTGGGATTGTTTGGAAGACAGAGCTGGCCTGAACTCTGTGCTGCAAAGCAGCAGCTACGACCGCAAGATCCAAACCATACACTTCCAGATTCTTTATCAGAGTAATCATCTTATTGGAGCCCCGAGAAGCCACAGAGATGTCTATAGGCTCAATATGGCCCTTCTTTATTATAGATGCTTGTCCAGGCAACACAACTTGAAAACATCCCTGCATTCTTCCCAGTGGATCAGAGGCCTGTCTGAGGATTGTGGGCGGCACCACAGGCTGCGTCCGGGTTTCCCCGAGGCTTGGCTGTAACACTGGAGATGCTGGTTTTCCAGAAATCAGGAGACTGACAGGAAACCTTTACTTCACCCTTCCACCTCCTGCTGCTGATCTTATCCTGCTCAGTGTTTCCAGGGATTGAACCAAACTTCTGTTTGTTTAATGAATGAATGATGAACCTGATGCTGGACAGGTCAGTGTTTCCTCAAAACTCTTTTTCTCTGTACTTTTTGCATTTCTGTTGAGCAGTTTATAATAAACATCTCAAAACATGTTTGCACTCAGTCAATTCAATTCTATTAAAACATAATCAAAAATGAAATCTGTTTGATTTCACTGAGGTTTCAAATTCAGAATAAACACACATTTTCCATTTTTTTCTGGTTTTGATCCAGTTTGACTATAATATGACTTTGATTTATCATCTGATGATCTGGAGCACTGTGTTTGTAATGCTTTCATTATTTCATAGGTTTTATTTAGTTTCAGTGGTTTTTGTTTGTGTGTTTGTACCCAGAAAACAAAATGAAGGCTGTGAGCTTTGATTGCAGTTATAACTTTATACTTTCACTTCAGACGCAGCTTTAAGATTAATGGAGGGAAAAAAACTAAACAAGAAACACAGAAATTCTTCATGAGCTCCATAAGCTGCTCTGGTCGGTGGACTGTGAGGATCCTTCATACCGATCAGTAATTCTGCCTGGATTCATCCCATCACTACTGTTCTGTACAGTTTAAAGTGGTGAAACACAATGATCTACTTGTTCTGCATTTTATTCTGAGCGTGTAGTCATGGACTGGCCATGACCCAGTATAGACCCTCGAAATCTTGGTCCTGGACTTGTCTCAGTCTCGGTACACCCCGGTGTCGGTTGTGACTTGTGTCTCAGTTTTGGTGATCTTGACCACAACACTACAGTGAATGAAGCACAGAGGCAGCTGAGGTCCAGTCAGACGTGTGTTTATTATCCAGCAGACAATCAGATCATGATCATGTTTATTGATCGTTGATCAGGCCCATATTCTACTGAAGCACTCTGGTTAAAGAACATGTAGCAGCTGGAGAGCCAGGAGGGGAGTGGAGCTCAAAGAAGGATAGTGTCAGTAGTGGGGTTTAACTAAAGATAAAACAAACAGCTGACTTTAAGAACGAAAAGCAGATAAAGTGATGCCAACTCCATCTGTGGAACATATTTAACACTGAGACAGCAGCTTCTACAACTAGCTGACAGTCTTCAGCTGAGCTCCACCACCAGTGTCGGCTGGTAGGTGTCAGTCATGGTGGCTGAGATGTTGACATCGTCGTCACTGTGGGTCAGACGTTCACCGTTGGCGCTGCCTCTGACGAAGCGGCTCTGAGTGTAGTAATACATCTCTTCATACAGATGGTGGTCACAGTTTCTTAATTTGTCAAAGACTCCCACTGCAAACCAGTTTTCGTAAAAGTTGAAGTCGAAGGGAACAGAGAACATGACAGCTACCTTCCTCACATCTTTGTCTGCACAGTCAGCGTCGAGTTCGTAGGTGAAGACTCCGACAGCTCCGGTGGCTCGGTGAGCCGTCTTTTTGAACAAAGCTTGGCCGGAGTCACCGCGGCTGAGCGTTGGAGGCAGCGCAGCGTCGTAGTATCCGTGGTAGACGTACACACTGGACAGCAGAAAGAGGAACAGTGAATAAAAGCACCAACACCATGAATGCAAATGTTTCTGATGATGGATGTGAAAGCTGGCAGTACAGTACCGGGGCCGGCTCAGGGTGTACTTGGACTTATTCGTTATTTTAACAACGCACTCGCGAGACTCAGCAGAACCCATGATGTCTGGAAACAACAGAACAGAGACTGATCACAGAACATGATGTGTCTGTGGAAGTGTCCTCTCTGAGCTGTTACAGAGTACAGAGGAAAAGTCTTCTAGAAGACGAGAAGCAGCTCTATTACTATCCTAACCCTGACAGTTACTGAGAACAGGCTGATACACGGAACAGGAGTTGTTTTTCTTCTAATCTTACTATTTTTGTTGTAGTTTGTTTGGTCACCAGTGGATGGCACTCGAGTCACATCAGATACATGAAGTTGTATATTCTTGTTTTCATCAACCCTAACCCTATCTTGCAAATATCAGAACTCAATCATATTTTAGAAATGTAACTGTGATCTACTTAAATATATATATATACATATAATTCAATTAAAATAAAGTTGAATTAATGAGTGAAGATGATGAACATGCAGTCAGAATCAGATCAGACTTACAGCAGTGATGAGATGAATTCAGGCAGCAGCACTGATGAGTGTGAAGGATCCACAGAGTGACCGGAGCAGCTCGTATTTATAGACCTCACTGAGCCCCTGCAGCTGCTGTTTCTGTAAACAAAACCAAACAAGTCATCAGAAAGTGAAAGTATGGCTCAAGTATTGAAAGTATGACTATAGGGGGAATCTTGTTTCCTTGCAGCCTCTGATTTCTGGGAAACCAGTGTTCCCCTTCACAGAGCTGTTGAGCGCCCCCTGTGGGACAATATGGGGAAAAATGAGTTATGTAAGTTATAATACAATACAATAAGTTTCTTGTTTTTCACACATAGTAACCAAAAACTTCATATTCTCTATTGCCTCCTTTGGCCTTGATAACAGCTTGTATTCTTGTTGGCTTTGTTTTTATTTACTTTTCGACCGTCTCTTTTGTTATCGAGTTCCAAATAGTTTCTAGCTGTTCCCACAGACTTGCTTTAGATTAAACTTTTGTGCGATGAATACCAGTTCCAGAACTCCAGATTCATTTTTCTTGGTCGAATAGTCTCTGCACAGCTTTGAAGTATGACTGTGGTCATTGTTTTGTTGGTATACAGGGTGTGTCAGAAAAGGACTGGTGTCACAAAAGATATACAATTTCAAACCCAAACCACAAACTACAAGTTTTCCACCTTCAAAGCCTTCAGTGGAAGAGTCGCCAAGGCCGAAGAGAGCAAGACAGTCAAAGTCCAAAGTCAAAGTCATGTTGATCGCATTCTTCGATGTGAGGGGCATCGTCCACTGCCAGTTCTTGCCACAGGACCAGATAATCAACCAGCATGTCTACAAAGAGATCTTGCGACGTTTGCTTCGTTCAATGCATGAGAAGAAGCGAGAGTTGTGGCAGGACAAGTCGTGGCTGCTTCACCATGACAACCTGCTCACAACGCCCTGAGCATCCCACAGTTCCTGGCTGAGAAGAACATTGCCGTGCTGGAGCAACCTCCCTCCTCACCCCACCTGGCTCCGTGGGATGTTTTTCTCTTCCCCAAGCTCAAGGAGGTCATCAAGGGGACCCGTTTAGAAGACGTGGACGACATCAAGATGGCTGTGACGATGGAGCTGTGGAGAATCCTGAAGAATCCTTCCAGGAGTACATGGCGGCATGAAGAGAAGGCTGAGGAAGTGTGTTAGACTCCAGGAGGATTACTTTTAAGGGGAAAACTAGTAGTTTGTATCTGAAATATATCTTTTGTCCTGGAACATTTCTGAGACACTTTGTATAAATAGTTAAATATCTACAGAATGTGGAGGCTCTTTTTTGAGCAGAGTGAGGAAAAATGAAACAAAAACCACTGCTTGGAGTCCAGAGGATTCAATTGTATGAGCTAGAAAATAATTTTTTTAAAAACACAAGAAATTGTGCCTATTTTATATTAAAGCAGCAGAATATCCATCCATCATCTATACACCGCTCAATCCTCACTAGGGGCTGGAGTCTATCCCAGCTGACTCAGGGTGAAGGCAGGGGACACCCTGGACAGGTCACCAGTCTATCACAGGGCTACACTTAGAGACAGACAACCAAGCACACTCACATTCACACCTACAGACAATTTAGAATCACCAATGAACCTCAGCATGTTTTTGGATCTTGTGGGAGGAAGCCAGAGAACCCGGAGAGAACCCACGCTGCATGAGGAGAACATGCAAACTCCACACAGAAAGATCCTGGATGTCCTAACCAGGACGCGAACTGGCGACCTTCTTGCTGCGAGGCAACGATGGTAACCACCGAGCCACCTTGCAGCTCGCAGCAGAATATGCTTGTTTTTTTTTTAATGTAATATTTTGCTCTATGTCGATGTTTGACTAATTTTGCAGCTCTTTGTGGCTGTTTTGTTGCTCCACCATATTGAAACAGACACTCTGGTTCTCCTCTATTTTCTGTTTGTTTTGCGGCTGATGTTGAGCTGAGCCTTGAACAGGTCCGACCTGCTGCCTGAGGACAAACCGTCGCCTCCTGCAAACTGCACTCTTCTCTCTAATCTGTAGGTTAAACTCGGAGTTAGTTCCAGCCTGACGGAGGACAAACATCAGACATCACAGGTGAGTTCAGCTTCTGTTCAATTAGAACAGAAAGAACGTTTAAAAACTGTTGAACTAACCAGCTATTTTGATTGAAACAGGTTCATCTCGTCTACAAAATGAGGAAAAACAGATCCTGAGTCTAAGATGAAATGTTTAAATTCTAAAGAGAGATGCTTAGTGTTTGTCGAGCTCTTTGTCTGTTTGCTTAGAAATGATGGAAGCACGCAGTTGCTGAAATTGTTGCAGATATTTTTTCCGCAAGTTAACTAGTTTTCTTTCAGATGGGTTTTCTTTGCGTGAACTTCAACAAAACCTGAAGCCGCAGTCAGAGAACACGGCGGTCGGTTCTCAATCATCCAGGTGGAAGCAGCTGTTTCACCTTCACGTGACTCTGAAGCTCCAACTGGCTGATGTGTTTTTATTGCGAACCCAGATCTCATGAGCAACAGCCTGTAGACAAACACAGATGGTGAAACTGCTGGTGAGGACATCAGGACCTGTTGCACTTCAGTATAGATGTTTTTAAACCGTTTTATTTCGGGTTTTCCTGTTTCTTTGGAGAGGGTTTAAGAGACAAATTTAAGGCATGAATCACAAAAACAACCTCATTTATTATTGTTGCCTTGAAGCCCTTGGGGGTCATTTTGCATCTCTTTGTGATGCAAACTTTTCTACATTTAGTATTTTTGCCTTGAGGCCCCTTTGGTAAAAACACGTCTCAGGATCATTTGCAATTTTACTTTTCTCAGTATTTTTTGTGATATCAGTGTCACATTTCATTTCATGTGCAATACTCTAGTTTCATGTGTAATATTTCATTCAATTTGAAATATTTAATCATCATGTTGGACACTTTACAGCCTCAGTATAAGTGACAGTATTACGCTTTACTTTTTCTGTGCTAGCCTTTTTGAAATATGTATTCTGTGTCAGTGTATCAAACTTACATCTGACTGATTTCTGCAAAGCACTGCATTTATTCTAATGTCATGTATTTGATTTTCTGAGCAACATCTGGTAAAGGCGTTTCCTTCTGGAGTTTTATCTCATCTTTTTTTTTGCAGTGGATCGACATGCGTCCAGCTTTGCTAGTATCTGCTTTCCTGCTCCTGCTTCAAATCCACGATGCTGCAACCAGTAAGAACCAGTCAGTCTCAGACCAGCACAACCAGTTTCTGCAGCAGAGGCGGCGACTCGTTTTCCCCACAGCACCACCTGCACACCCAGTTTTATAGGTTTATTCTGTCCAAAATACTGCATTGTGTCTAAGAAGTTATGGTTTTAAAGGTTTACTTCAACTACATAATACTTTCTGTCCAGGAGCCTGTAGTTTCAAAGTTTTGCTCCTCCCAGAATACTACTTTCTGTCCTGCGCTTGAACTTGGGAGCACAGTTCGGTCATTAGCAGGTAAAATAAAGATGAATCTTGTCACGAGGTCCACTCTGAAGACAGACGTTCGACTGAAGACATCAGAACTGGTTTTAATGTTGAATTAATAAAGCTTGATTCATATTGCAATCCTCAGTTCATTGCACCAGCTCTGGGTTTTAAACTTCAGTAGTTGGCGCTGTGATAACGAGCACAGCGCCCCCTGCTGCAGAAGCACGCTGCTGCACCAAACTCACACCTGACAGACATGTTCAGCGTTAAAGTGACCAAACTCCCACAGATGCTTTGACGCTGAGAGTCCAAACCAGCTGCAGAACTCGTTATCCAGCTCGGCCGTGTGGAGACGGCTGGTACCGCATCGACATTTACCGCTGTGCAAAGTACTTCCGGACTAAAAGAACGTTCCCAGATGCAGAGGTGAGAACCAACACTCCGAACGCTGGAGGCTCGTTCATGTTCACTGGTTTTGGTTTTGGTTTCAGAGCCACTGCCGCCGCCTCAGAGGTCACCTGGTGTCGATGCACGACGCCACCGAGTACAGCCACGTGCTGTGTTTGGCCTTCAGAGCCAATCAGAGCAGAGATCACTTCTGGATCGGTGGCAGGAGCAAATATCTGGTAAGATTCAGAGATGAGCAACTGGATGCAGGAACAAGCTGCTTCTCAGGGATCTTAGAGTTACAGAAATACAGGTTCATCCTACGTGGAACTTTCTCATCAGCTGGTCGATATGCATTAAGGCTAATCCCAAGCAAGCAGTTTGATTGGCTAACCTTAACCCGGCAGATTTGGTGGTCCAAGTAGAAGCTGGATGTTGATCCTGGACCACCTGTGTGACAATAACAGTCACCGAATGATGTGAGAACATCAGGCGGTTCAGCTGCAGCAGCAAACTTATGGAACCACAGATGTCTCATTTCACTCAGTCAGAACCCGGTAACCAGAACTTGAACATCTTGACCGTTTCCCCTCAGTGGCACAGCTTCCAGTGGACCGACCGGACTCCGTTTAGGTTCAATAGATGGGCGTTTTTCCAGCCAGACAAAGTCGCTGGTGAGGAATGTGTGGAGATGAACTACGAGAGTAAGTTGGAAGTGCAAACTTATTTCATGCAGGTTTAATCTGCAGGTGGAATTAAGTTCAATATACCAATATAAAGTAGAAAATATTCTGTTTTCACAACAAATATCACGTTTTGTTCATGTAAAGTCACCAGTATTTTTTTTTAACCCTTTTTACTGTAGAAAATTTTTTTAAATTTCTCTTTTTAAAAATACAACACAAAGTTGTGATGATGCCAGAACATTTGGTAATTTTACAGATTTATGTTATAATTCAGGATTAAACCTAACTGTTGCAATTTTTAAACTGATTTAATTTAAACTCACTGCAGGAAGTTCAATATTTAAAACAACTGGTTTTTGGAGTCAGATTCTGTAAATTTAGTCCTTAAATCCACACAGCCTCTTTTCTTTCATCTACTGTTATTTGGCCAAACTGCTGAACAAAGTTTTTTTCTTTTATTATTTAATTTATTTTAATAACCAGACTTGATTGAACTGTTTACATCAGTAAACTTGAATTTACTCAACTGAGATGTACTTAAACTCTGGTTAAAACTAATCTCAGATTACGTAAACCTGACTAACGCTTCCGTTTGTGTATTTCAGAGTGGGGATACTGGAATAACGCCGTCTGCTCAGGAAAGAAGTTCTACATTTGTTCCAGGAAGATGTGACGTCACGTGTTGATGTAGTTGATCAGTTCAGAGTTAAAAACACAATAAATACAACAAGTGAGCACCAACATGTTCAGATGTGACTGCGGGAAAACCCTGAAATAGATCATAAACAATCATCTTACAGGTTACAGGCCCTTGAAGGTGGCTCCAAATTTCACACTTTTTACATCATGTCTGAGTCTCATAACTTCATCAGTACAGACAAATGTTTCCCTTTCAAAAACATTAAGTTTCCTTGTACAATAGTCTTTCAAAAAACATTCTCACCTAAAAATGTCTTCCATCATTTATATAAATGTCCTTCCTTATTGAAAATGTCCTCAGAGTACATCTCTTCCAGGTTTGTTTGTTTTATCCAAAAGTGGCAGCTTGAAAAAAAACCAAAGCATCCAAAAGAAAGTCAAAAAATCAAATGTCCTTTACAGAAAAAGGTTCTCATTTCTCCACAATGTCCAGCAGTATTTCTTCATTTCCCACAAACGTGTGAAGGTTTTTCAAAAATGTCCCACAAACTATTCCTCACTAAATGTCCACCTCTTACAAATGGACCAGAAATGTTTTTCCTTTTCAATAGTTCTTTGGGAACCAGACACTCATTTTAATACGCGTTTCCTCAAACTGTATTATAAGAAAATCGAATTTACAAAAAATGCCATCAGTTTAAACCAACATACAAAAAAAAAGGTCCCACAAAGTGTCCAGAATATCCCATCCTCACTACAAACTTCTAGAAATGTCTCCACTTCCTCCAAATGTCCCAGAAGTTGTTTTCTAAAACCAACAATATTCGAAAGGCTGCCATCAGCTTGTAACAGGAAGTGGTTTAATCCAGCTTTAAATTTCTTTGTTGAGAAGGTTCCAGAGAATCACCCACATGCTCTCAGATTTCCTGCAATGCATCTCTTCCCCGTTTCTGTAACCGATCCAAACTGTGTTGATCTTAACGAGCTGGTTTCTCGTAATAATTAAAGTTCATATCAATGGACATCTACCAGAAAACAAAAATAGATTTTGAAGATGAGCAAAAATCGCCCCAAATGCTCGCCGTCTTTCCCAAATTGGTGGAGTTCCTGTTGGGTTTAGGGAAAGCCATGGTTGACTTTTGTGCATCCCGACCTGCTACATATGCCTACCGGATTGCAAAGCTCTTGGTGAAATGTAGTCCTGATGGTACTCTGCTGAAATTTTCTAGAGGGCGCTATGGAGCCATTTTGCCATTCACATGCCCAATTGTTTTAAAACCTATCACATTTTTTCACCAGTCCTGATGTGCGTGCGAAATCTGTAGAGTTTTTGAGCATGTTTACGCCCTCAAAAATGCGTTTCTAGATAAACCCAAGGGTTAGTGGTCGGACCCCAATGAAACATTTAGATCTAAACTTAAATCTCTGACCAGGTGAAGACAGAAAAATGAAGCAGACAAACCTTGACTGTAAGAATCATTTTACTTGATTTTTTAAAAACAAGTGATCAGATTTCAAAGTGTCCAGAATCCAGGCTGTGATAAGCTGCAGAGTTCAAGAAGTTCCGGAAATTTATGCGAACTGAAACCAGCCACTGTTTGGTTTCTGGTTGTGGATGAAGAGGGTCTGTCAGGTCCTGGATCTGTAGGTCTGTAGAGGATGTTTAGGGACCAGTGAGCTCTGTCAGCTTCCATCATCGAGGTCAAACATCTGAACAAAACAAAGAAAACTACATAAATTTCAGGTCAATCAGAGGTGGTAAGGAGAAGTTGTTCTCAAAGTTCGATGATTTGAGGTGGATGGACTTTTATTGTGAAGGAACAAACCTGAGATGATCAGTGGGTCGTGGTCCTGTTGTCTTCTCGTCCAGGCTCCGTCCAGGCTCCGTCCAGGCTCCGTCCAGGCTCCGTCCAGGCTCCGTCCAGGCTCCGTCCAGGCTCCGTCCAGGCTCCGTCCAGGCTCCGTCTCTTCCTCTAAGAAGCCTTTGAAACTGGAGCTTCTGTCCCAAGCTGATGAATTTTCACGTCTTATTCAATCAATTTAAGCTAATCTGGGAAACCTTCCTGCACAAATGAAGAGCTATTCTATAATTACATAGAAACTAGACAAGACAAGGTTTTGTTTTTTTCAGTTAACATGGTTCCTGATCCAATTTGAGTTTCCAGAACTGAGGAGCTTCCCTAAGAACACTCGAGGAAACTTCTTCAGAGAGCAAAGTGATATTTTCACAGCAGAAACAAGAATCAGTCGGTAAAAGACCAAAGTCTTGTGAATAGATCCTGAGCAGTTTGTCCTTCATCAGTTCAATTTTGATCAGTTCGTCACAGTCCAAAGTCTGATCATCCAGCACAGAAAATCACATCTGAACACACCATGCAAACACTGGATCAAGACATTTACACCGAAAATCATCAAAAGCAGGGGGGAAAAAAAACAAAAAACAAAAGGCAACAAGTAAAACTATAAACCTGAAATCACATGTCTGAACATCAGAGCTGCTTTATGTAAATTAGTAAAATGAAACCTGAGAAAAGATGACAATAAACCCTCTGAGGGCTGCACTGCAAAGTGAGATTAGTGGGTTATCAGGTATGTTGAGCTTAAAGTCAGAGTTTTCAGTGTCACAAAGGTGGCTCTCTTTTTACCTGCTAGATCTCCGTGGTAACTGATGCTGTGGAGCTAACCTGGTCGGGAGCAGGTTTTGCTCAGAGTTTGGGATTTAAAATCGGCTGTAAAGAGCGAAAACTACCTTCGTGACACACGTGCTCTCTGACTGGGGCTTTCAGGTTTGCACAAACAAAGCCTGGCTATGTTAAACTTGCTTCATAGTACAAACCTCTGAACTGAAAGTCTTTCATTTTTCTTCACTGTGGCTCGTTTTTCACTGCAATATGAAGTTCTGCACGTCAGTGGAAACAGAACAACCATGAAGGAGGAGAAAGAACTGAGAAATATCTTCAGTCACGATGACAGAAAATCATTTCTGAAAGTTAAAAAATAAATAAATTTAAAAAAGACTCCATCTTTCCAACTGTGTCAAATGTAGACAGACTGTGGGGGTCATGAAAAAGAAATGGAAAGAGAAAAAAATAATCCTAATTTGTTTCACAAAAACATTAAAACGTAGGACCAACATGTCTAAAAGTGTGGCGTCTCCACATACTGTAGATATTTAACCATTTACATTTTTACAGCCTCTGACAGTTTCTGTCATTTTGTCTTATTTTTCTAATTTATTTCTCATTTTTGTTGTTCAGTGTCATTTCTTGGTTTGGTTGGTTTATTATGGTTGTCATTTTGTGTTTTAGTTTGGTATATCATGTTCTTGTTTGTGTCATTGTGTCTCATTTTTGTCATCATTTTGTCTTGTTTTGTGTCTTTGTGTCATGTCTTAGTTGGTTTGTGTCTTTTTGTGCCATTTTGTGTTTTGTTTTGGTTATTTTATGTGTTTTTGTTTCATTTTGTGCATTTTGAGTCTTGTGTCATTTTATCATAGTTGTGTATCATTTTATGTTTTCTCATTTTGTGTTGTGTCTTGGTTGGTTTATTGTGGTTGTCACTTTGTGTGGTTTTGTGTCGTTTTGTGCATCATGTTCTTGTTTTGTGTCATTGTGCTTCATTTTTGTTGTGTCATTTTGTGGGGGGTTCTTGTCTTGTATTGCTTGGTTTATGTGACGTCTTAGTTGGTTTGTGTGATTTTGTGTCCTTTTTTGCAGTTTTGTGAAATTTTGTGTCTTGTTTTGATGAGTTTGCGTCTGTCATTTTGTGTTTTGGTTTGTCGATTTGTGTCTCATTTTGGTTGTTTTGTGTCATTTTGTGTTATTTTATTGTAGTTGTTGATCATTTTGTGTTATTTTATGTCATGTTTGGTTGGGTTAGTGTCTTTTTTTGAGGAGGTTCAAACTCTGGATGGTTTTAGAGGCTGGAAACACGGAAATAGTTAAATATCTACAGAATGTGAAGACAAAACACCACAACAAGGAAAATGAGACTCAAACTGACAGAACGAAGGAAAAAAAAACAGACGAAAAGAGCATCGGAGACAAAACAGAAAGGAAACAAAATCTCAAAATTGGTTCTAAGACGCAAAATTTAAAAAAAAAAAAAGGGGGGGGGGAGCAGCAAAACTTTCTCACCAAGTTTCAACCGTTACAGCAGTTTCTCACCACATTTCATGAAGCTCATCCTTTTTTGTTTTGGCTCGTTAAAGAAAAAAAGTTTCCTCAAACAATCTGCAGAGTAAAGAGAAAAACGCAGAGTCTGTAAAAGGCCAGAAACATGGCAATAGTTCAATATCTACTGTGTGTTGAGATGACATTAGTTCTGAATTCAGCTTATTTCCTGATTTCCATCATTCCATCATAGTGATGGACGACTTTTCTGAGTTCTCTCTCCTCCTTCATGGTTGTTCTATTTCCATAGAGGACTTTATATTGCAGCGAAAAATGAGCCACAGGGAGGAAAAAAAAAATTAAATAAATCACTGAGAAACTGTGACTGAGTTCAGATTATTAATGGCAACGCTACAAGAAAAGAGAAAAATCCATCCTTGGTCAGGAAACTCAGAGGCTTTATGTGGCTAAAGAGACTTTTGAGGCTCGACTACACCAGAAAGTCTCGGTGTGAAGCTTCCATGGGACCAGACGCTGGAGCAGGGGTCTCAAACTCGTGGCCCGGGGGCCAATTGAGGCCCGCCAGACAATATTTTGTGGCCCCCTACTTTACAAAGTTTAGTGTTGGTGCAGCCTGCGCGTTTTTCCTCACATGCACCTACATGAGTCGTTGCCCTGGGCGTTTTAGATTTTCCATCATTTGTGGGCTAACATAGCTCAGGCTCGTGACAGCAACACGAATTAGCAACGATAGTCACTTGAAAGGTGATTCGTGAGTGTCACTTCGTGGAGAGAAAATGTATCCCATCACCCAGTGCAAATATCTGTGTGAAAAGCTCTTCTCCACCATGAACTTTAATAAGTCAAAGCACAGCTCCAAACTTACTGATGAGCATCTTCAAGCCATACTGAGGGTCTCAATTGTTTCCCTCCTCAAGCCAAATGAATGAGTGTTTTAATCAAAGAACCTTTCATGTTCAGAATTATTAA